ACCGCCAGCCTTCTAGTTAGCAGTCAAGTGCCTTACACACTATGCTACCAGAGTTCCATAGAGCCATCAAATGGAGTAGTGAGCTGGGCTCTAGGCAGGGCTCACTGGCTCTCACAGGCCTCATTAGCACCATACCAGTCTTTGCTTGGGCTTTTCTACATCTTCACCTGAAACTGAAAATGAAGTGTTTGTAATCTGCTAAAATCTAGATTAGCTGGTCCCCAGAGTCACATTTTTAAAAATAACCAGTCCTTCAGTTCCTACTGTAGGGTCAGTAGTTCAAACCCACTAGCAGGTCCACAAGAGAAAAGACCTGGCAATCTGCTCCTGTAAAGATTAACCAAAAACCAAACTCACTGCTGTCGAGTCGGATCCGACTCCTATGGGGCAGTTCTACTCTGTCCCATAGGGTTACTATGGGTCAGAATCAACTCAATAGCATGTAACAACAATGCTTAAAAGTAATTTTTTAAGATACATTTTAACTATAGGGGAACCTATTTATCAACACATCTTGAAATCTACTTTCCCATCTCTCTTTTTGTATTAATACATCCCACATGCCAGAGCTTCTTCTCTGTCTTCTCTTTGACTCCTATCTCCCAAAAAGCCCATCTTTTTGCTACCACTCTCCTCCTGCCTCCCTTCCCCACCTCCCTCTTCACACATACACATTATTGATTGCAAGAATGTTCAAGTGTTGACATGATTGCATTTAATTTAATCAACATTTTTAAATACAGTATCAGAATCCACATTTATTTATGTTTTAATTTATGTTTGAATATAGCATATTTGGTAAACAGATAAAACAAGTTTTAAAGATTATAAACAAACACCTACTTTCCAGAAAAGCCTTTTCAGAATGAAGTTTCTCTGAGCAGCTACTTTAAGTTCTGTAATTAAACAAAGTATCTTCCTCAGAGTGTTATCTTTAAGAAAAAGCTCAGATTTAAGTTGACTGAAGTGCTTAATTTTCTCTTCTGATCTACAGAAACATAAAATATTTTCCATTAAGAAAAAATAAGAAACAGCAGTTTAAGAACATCAACTATTATCGACAGGTTTGTAAAACTTTATTACTAATGGAATTTTAAAAATTATTATTATATACTACCTTCTGAAATGGATGTATGTTGACCATTTCTTTTTGGTACTGTGACTCTGTGCGTTCCTTCCATCTTCTTTCTTTCTTTTTCTTTTACTATTTTTAATTGTGCTTTAGGTGCAAGTTTACAGAGCAGTTTGTTTTGCATTCAATATTACATGTACATTTAATTTCACTCCCCATTTATCATTCCCAACCCTAACCCAGTCTCCTTCACTCCCTGTCCAGAAAACCCCCTTACCCCCTCACACCCCGACACTCCCAACCCATGCCCCTCATAGTTATTATGCACTGCTGTGTGTCCTGCATTTCCACCATGCAAATATTGCCCCTCTGGTGCCCCATGGTCGATTGCCTCAAGGTATGCATTTCCACAGAGTATGTGTGTGCATCACCCTGGGTTGAGTGGTCTGCTTATGTATCTTGTTCACCACTGGGCTGAGAGGCAGCCCCTGGGAATGAGTTCATTTCAGGCCCAGAATATATCCCAGGACCATAGTATTGGGGGTCTCACCAGACTCCATTTTAATATAATTTTGCACTTTTAGCCTTATTACTCATGAGATGAGCCTTGATCCCCCAAATTGAACCATTTTTTATTCTCCAAAAATACTGTTTGTCCATGCCCCTTTACTCAAGCTTTCCAGTGCAAAGAATAGTTTCACTGTCCCTAGTAAATTTCTGTTTTCATAGACAATTGAACTTCAGTTGCTCACATATCATTAACTATAATCCATGAACCATACACAAGTGATAGTATTTGCTTAGTATTTTTTCTTTAAATAAATTCTTTCTTTTCTTTTCCTCAACAGTTGCTATCAAGTAGATTCTGACTCACAATGACCCTGCATGTAACAGAGTGGAACTGCTCCACAGGTTTTTCTTGGCTGTTATATTTATGGGAGTAGATCACCAGGCCTTTCTCCCACAACACTGCCAGGTGAATATGAACCACAAATCTTAAGTTAGGAGTCACACAGCTGTTTGTACCACCCAGAGAGCTCCCTGTTTGCTTAGAGAAGTTTATAAAGAAAACTTTGAGTCATTACATTATATGAGAAACCAGTATGACTCTCCATAAATAGCAGGTAACACCCACCAGACACTCCTCAGAAGGAAGGTTGGGCAATCTACTTCCGCAGTGATACTGCCTGGGAAACCCAAGGAGGGGTTGCTATGAGTCAGGTCTGACTCAATGCAAACAACAACAAACCACCACCATAAAAATAGTGTGAAAGAAACACAAATTCTAAGTAGATAATCTGTATTTTGAGCCTGGGGCCTGCTCTCTTTGAGGAAAAGGCAAATGTGCATGTGTTAGCTAGCTGCCACCCCTGCACCAAGCCCAGAGGTTCTCCTTGAGGAAAACAGACAGCTGAAGAAGGATCACTTCCGCCCTACAGAATTCAAAGTTATTTCACGTCATGTCAGAGTCCCACCTGAAATCATCCCCCAGCACTGCCTCATATGTGGTCCACACTTCTGGGAAAGCTGAACCGAGTAACACCTTCAAGCTTTCCCTAAATCCACCAGCTGAGTGTGGCCCTCTCCCTTAGCACTTTATTGACATTTCTTCAATCACACTAACCCTGTCTCACCCCATTGTAGTTACCTGTGTACTTGTCCTACCCCCTCAGCTGATTTTCAGCAACTTGAAAAGACAGTAGTGTGTTAAACAGTTTCTGTCTCCCACTGTGCTTAGCAATAACAACTTGTACTTAATTGAGCAAAGACTATGTAGCAGGCTCTGGGCTGGGTACATTGTATGGATTAGTTCATTCAGCCCCACTGAGGGGACTGAGTTGGGAAAGTATATTGCATTTTATAAGAATTTAGAGAGGTTAGGTAATCTGTGCTAGCTCACACAACTAGTGATTCAAAAAACCAGGATACTAAGTAACACTTGTTATTGTTGTTGTTATGTGCCAGATGGGTAATTATCTTGGGCAAATTATGTAGCTTCTCTATGCCTCAGTTTCCACATCAGTATAATGGGGATGATAATAGTACACATCCCATTGTACTATTTGATACTTTACCTAATATATGAGCTTTTAAAAAAACCAAACTTACTGCCGTTGAGTCAGATCTAACTCATAGCGATCCCTCCTTGGGTTTCTGAGGCGGTATCACTACGAAAGTAGATTGCCTGATCTTCCTTCCTAGGAGTGGCTGGTGGGTTTGAATCTCCAGTCTTCTGGTTAGCAGTCAAGTGCCTTAGGCACTACGCTACCAGAGCTCCTTAAGTAACAGTAGAACATGTTTCATGTTCTGTGTAGACTGATGGAATCTTAGAATTCTTAACATTTCACCACCTAACCAGAAACGTGATATCAGCCATCTATCCCAGTACTATCAAATGAAATCTTGGTTCTTGCTCAGTGCCTCCCTCTTCATTTATTTATTTGTTTTTTAAAAAGATGATCTCCTTTATCCAGTCAATAAACCTTATCACAAAATTTAAGACTTTCTAGTGGAGCTCTGGTAGCATAGTGCCTAAGGCACTTGACTGCTAACCAGAAGGCTGGTGGTTCAAACCCACCAGCCACTCCTCGGAAGGAAGATGGGGCAATCTACTTCCGTAGTGATACTGCCTCGGAAACCCAAGGAGGGGTCGCTATGAGTCGGGTTCGACTCAATGGCACATAACAACAACAACAACAGTGGAGACACTGGAGGAGAAATGATTGATAAGAATCATAGAGGCAGAAAAACATAGTAATTATGAACATAGGGTCTGGGGTCAGAATCCTCTTCTCAGATGGGTAATTATCTTGGGCAAATTATATAGCTTCTCTATGCCTCAGTTTCCACATCTGTATAATGGGGATGATAATAGTACACATCCCATTGTACTATTTTGATACTTTAGCTAATATATGAGCTTTTAAAAAACCAAACTTTGCCGTTGAGTCGGATCCAACTCATAGCGACCCCTCCTTGGGTTTCCAAGGCAGTATCACTATGGAGGTAGATTGCCCAACCTTCCTTCCAAGGAGTGGCTGGTGGGTTTGAACCACCAGCCTTCTGGTCAGCAGTCAAGTGCCTTAGGCACTACACCACCAGAGCTCCCAAAATGAGCTTTAGCACTCAGCAAATTTTAATAAATATTACCTAAATTAAATAGTTACAAGCTTTAACATCCCACTTCCCTATATATCCACTTCTAATTACTACCACATTTCATTTTTAAAATAATTATAAAATTCACCTACTTTCTGAGAACTCTAAAAACAATAGATATGGCACAAACAAATGGGCTTAGAAAAACAAAAGTTCAGATAAATACAGTATAACAAACAAACAAACAAACCCACTGCCATTAAGTCAATTCCAACTCAGCTACCCCACTAAGTTTCCAAGGCTCCAAATCTTTATGGAATTAGATTGCCTCATCGTCCTCCTATGGAGCAGCTGGTGGGTTTGAACCACTGACCTTCTGGTTAGCGGCCAAATGCCTTACCCGCTACACCACCAGAGTTCTTTAAAATACAATAGAAACAGAATTATTTTGAAGTTGATTTTTCAGTTTGTTTTATATTAGGAACAAGCAGTTTGCTAAGATGTGAGCAACCATTTTCATCCTGGAATCCAGATTTCTGGATCCATAAAGTTGGAGTGACCACCCAGGCCATTTACCCTTAAGTGTCCTTTTGAACCTTGAGCCTTTAAGGAACTGGTTTTCGTAGAGTCACCTTCAAACCAAACAATAGCCTAGAAATCAGTTTACCGGAGCCTCTTTTGCCTTAGGCAGTGGGCTCTTTTGGAGAATTATCTACGTGCAGCCAGTTTCAAGAAGTTCAACAGGAACTGCAGGGTCTGACTGAACTGCAGGGTCTGACTGGAAGCTGTGTTTCAGGATATATGGCATATCCTTAGGAGCTCTGGTGGTATAGGAGATAAGACATTGGTTGCTAACCAGAAGGTCAGTGGTTTGGTTTAAACCACCAACTGCTCCATAGAAGGAAGATGAGGCAATCTACTTCTGTAAACGTTTACAGCCTAGGAAACCCACTGGGGGTCACTATGAGTCTGAATCAACTTGATGGCAGTGAGTTTGAGTTTTTTTTTGGTTTTTGGCGTGTCCTTAATGTCTCTCTTTTCACAAATGACTGACCCTGAAGCCCTGCACATGCTCTGAGAAACTAACACAGAAGAAATTCACAATGACCCTCAGGAGACTGTGCTGCCTGGACCCCACCTATATAATCTGTTTTCACCTTCCCCTCTTCTGAGAGCCTTCTTGATACCTTTAAGTTGATGCTGCTGATTCAATAGATTCAAATCATATCTACTCACAATAAATATATTCTCTTACATTAATTTTGATTGCGCATTTAGGTTTTTAACAGCTCCATAACAGAACTGTTTTTAGTACTTTGTCACTTTTTATAATAGATTGTGAGACCGGACTAATTTTTTCATATAGGCTAAAAAAAAGAAAAAAAAAAAAAAACCTTCATAGGAAAAAGCACACTGATCTCTCCATACTAAAAATCAGTGCATATATAAATGGAGTTCTCATGTACATCATAAATTCAAGTAAGACTAGGCAGTCTATATTTCTACAGAAAAATGATCTATAATCACAGTTTATTTGAACATTCAGAAAGTGTTTGCTTTTATGTGCAAGACAAACTTCTTTGCCTCATTTAAATAAGAAAAAGTATAGTGCTACAAAACTCCTCTATACAATTTAGAAATGAATGGGAAGATATATATTAACATAATTAATACTCCATATTTTCATCAGATAGAAAACATGAATTCACCAACACAATGTTGCAAGAAGGATTCTTGATCTAATGATAAGATCTATTTTTTTTCTATTTATCTTTCCAGACATTTAGTATAAATAACATCTTATTTTTGCATAACGC